TTTTTTTTTTTTTTTCAGCAACAGCAGTAGTCTACATAAATTTACATAAGACCAACTAATTGATCGTTGTCGTTGCTTTTGAACATACATATTTATATATACATACTTCATGTACTTCGGCAGAAACACTGTTACCCTCTTTATCGTTGCCTTTCAATAGCGGCATTTTTCATGCTTAAATTCAACAAGAGCAAGAGACAAAAAGTAGATGTAAATAGAAAAAATATTTTAACAGAGGAAGCAATTTGTGTGTTATACAATTTTCACTCTTATTTTTTTTTTTTCTAATTATCAACGAAAAGGTTAGCGAAAACAAAAATAGCAGTGAAAAAAAAATTTTCATTGTTTCAACCTTTTTCATTTGAAAAAAAAAAAGACAAAAATTGTAGGTATTCTATTTTCTGTTTTTTAATTTACCATTATTATTATCAGTTTTGTTCTGTTTCGTGAACCCTCAAAGCACAGACACTGCCAGCGATCCATCACACACAAACGCACATTCGTAAGCTGCTGACGCATATAGCAGTTGGGCTCAGATTTAGAGACCCGAAGACATTCCGACAGCCGAACACAATCAAATGCGAAAAAAAAAAAAAGTGAAAATTGAAAAAAGTTTATTAATAAAGAAAAACTAAAGAGACACACACAAAAAAGAAGAAAAATGAAGAAAAAAAAAATGACAAAATGAAAAGTGCACTATACGCAAAATGTTCCCATCGTCAGATCATTATTACATTCTGTGAAAAAGCTGAATTATTAAAATAAATTAAACCTAAAACCTTTTCTCCATTTTTTTTCCCAATTTTTTTATGGTTTCTCAAAGATCTGAGCATTGTCATCAGCATCAGCAGCAGTAACAAATTAAGTTGTGAAAAAAAAGCAGCAAGAGATAAGAATCAAGTGAAAAAACGAATGTATTAGATGTTTATATATATATATCATTGCAACAAATTACAACAAAAACAATGAACATACACAAACAATATTTTTTTTTTTTAAAAATAAAAAGGATTATTAATAAAGAAAAAAAATTAAGAAAGAAGACAATAAGCAATAAAAAATATTAAGACATGAAAATTTTGGATCATTTTTCAACAGAATAAAAACGACCTCAGCACATTTTTTTTGAGGGGTACAGAAGGAGAAGGAGAAGAAGTAAAACAGAAAATGCCGACACCGGTTGAACATCAAAAAAGCAAATTATTCACTGATGTACCGTAAAACATCAGCTTTTCTTCTAACTTAGCTTACAACTTGTTCTTTTTTTTTCTATCTTTTTCTTTAACTTTCTGATTTTCTTTCTGGCAATTGCAGTTTATCGAAAAATATTGGTAATCTATCATGTCCATCAATATGGACCACTGTATCAATCATTAATCACAGCTGACAACAGCCATCAACAAGCATTTCAAGCAAACGTTTGACAATTACAAATTAATTATTTCCGTTGTTACATTAAAGAAAAACAAAAAAAAGAAAAAACAACTTGAAGAAATGTGATCAAATTTGTTCACATTATATGCTCCAAACAGAATAAAACAAATTGGCAAAATAAAACAAAGAAAATTTTTTCTACAGTAAAATTGTGTAATTTTTACAGCACAATAAAATGTATGCCCAGCATACATGGTTCTGCTTCAGAATCGAGCTGCCTGTGTGGTGGTAGTGGTAGTGGTTGTTGGTTGACTAAGACCACAGGATAATGTTTGGATTTGCAGTCCTGGAGTACCCAACACCCAAACTCTATTAGCGTTACACTGTCCGGTGACCGACACGCGATCTGTATTTGAAGCCAATATAGTCACACCATTGGCGATCATTGTAGCCACCAGTCCTGATGACGGTGTTGTGGTCGGAGCTCTGAAAAGCCCAGCAAACATTAAACATTGTTAACTTCATTAATGTTGCTAATTTTTTGTTTTTACTCAACTGATAACAATGGTCGCTGTTGAAGGCGGTAAAAAAAAGAAGGAAGAAAAAGGAATGAAGACAAAACTGAAAGAATAATTTTAAAAAAAGTGTTTTTTTATCTAAGACTTTTTTTGCGGTGTTATAGTTTATTTGCTGAACAATGGT